GTCAAGAGATTGTGCGTATTGCACAGTGAATGCGGCAGCATTGAGATGCTGCGGCAGATGACAAAATTGTAGAAGCGTGCGAGCATGGTTTGCATGGCATATGTGGCGAGCCAGCCCGGCCATCAGGGAGCTGGTACGTGTGAGAAGGCATGTACGTACATTGTACTGTACAGTACTGTACAGGCTGACTTCACTTCTGTACAAGTGGCCTACGGTGGGCTCACTGGAGTGGCCAAGTTGCTGGCGCACTGATCCTTGGTGTTTCACTCACTGTGGGACGTCGTTGGTGGTCAAATCGTGAGGAGAGGGTCGTGGCGGGAGGATTGGTGGGGCAAACTCCAGTTGCCGCAGTGTGTTGAGATGGCATTGCTCGAGGTGGTTCACAGCCTTGATGGTGTAGATGGCGATTGTGATCCTTTGTCCCTGCCATGGACGTGTTTCATGCCATAAATGCGGGTGGAAGACAGCACCTGGCCATGGTGCCATCCCTGGATGGGCAGTCACCAGCAGGGGCCTGTAACCATAGGCCACCTCCCCTAAATGATGAGCATGGGAGCACCACGTTACAGCTGTCAGGGGAGTTATTGAGGTCCCTGTGGGCCTGCATCATAGTGTTGCGTTGTAGCACAAAGCTCGTGAAGGCCTCGGCCGTACACGAGCGGATGTATTTGCATATCATAAGTGTCACCCAGGGGAATGTCGTTGTGTTACGACGTAGGCCATGGAGTGGGCCTTGTGAGTAGGCGCCACTCAGGAAGCACATTCCATCTGCGTGATTTGTGCTTGCTTCTCTACGAAGGTCCCCGCTAGGGAGGCAGTCGCATAGGAGTTCCCATACATCCATACGGACTTGCCCATCAGCAATCATGTCAGCAGCAATCTGCTCGGCCACATGCTGTGGCGTGGGCATGCCTTCAGGGATCTGACTCGTAATTTCCAGGGAATACGGTATACGCACTTGATGCTCATCTTCTGGCATTGGGGCCATCACTTCCTCACCCATGTCAACGCCATACTACTCATAGTGAGGCCTAGTGGGGAGGGCAACTGCATTGAGAATGCACGGCAAGTGTAGTGAACACATTCCATAGCAGGATAGGAGGGTGTCGGCTGGGGTCTAGGGTCTGGGGACTACCTTGGCACTTCGCTGTCAGCACCTTTTGTAGCATGCAGGTTCATCAGCCCAAGATGTCAGCAGCATGAATTATGCAGAATTATAGCAGTTGCTCGGCCGTCGGATCATTTGGACGTCGCCAGAGTACCTGCAGGAGTCACATGCATTGATTACGTGGGGATTGGGTAGTGAGGGATGAGTAGCCGCTAGCGTCAGGCAGCACTGCGCAAATTTTCTGGTTTTTTGAACTTTTTGGAGCGCAGGCTGCTTGTGCGTCCCCCACACGCGGCTACCCCTCTGCGCTCATTGCGTCTGCCTGCAAAGCAGGAGCAGGTAGCATTGCTGCCCCAAAACCGTGTCATGCTGAACTGATGTTCGGATGTGTTCAATGGGCTTATTGTCATCTGCCTTCCATTGTGGGGGCGCGTGGGGGGCGATTAGTTCTGGAAGGTGATTGATGTATCTAGCTGTGTAGTGCCCTCCAGTGGCAGTGGCTCCGCAGTGTAAGACACACGCAGCGACTTGGTAGGGTACCGGTTCGCAGTCTGCACCTTGGTGTGGATCGCTGTAGCGAGGTATTTGGACTGTGGGTTGTATAGTTACTGGGGTGTGTAGTTTGATTGTGCTACCATCATCTCCCGACTTGAAGCGGGACAGTCTCAGGCTTCTCAGGAGTAGGATTTTGGGGGCATACGTACAGGCTTGCAGGTAGGTACCACTTGTGTGCCATTGATCTATGAGATGTTGCAGGGTGGTGGCACTGTCATGTGGGGGGAATCCTAGCGTGATGGCTTTGTGTGTGTGATGCTGTTCTCTAGTCTCCGTGCCCTCCAGTTCGCTCACAATACGTGATTCCCACCTGCCTTGAAGAATTTGGGGCCGTCCGGCTCCCAGCAAGTGCTCAAGGAACTCGCAGGCATCCTGTTGTTGATGCAGGTTCGCCCAGTCTCTCAGTAAGGGCCTCCATGAACGCATAGCATGTACATGTATGGGCTTTCGTGCATGAAACAGATCGCGCCATGCCTGCTCCTGGCCCCCATATCTGAGTACATCAGCGGCCTGAATGTGACTGACAGCGTACAGCCATGCCCTTACGCTCGCATTGATGTAGCATGTATTGCTGCTGTTGAGGAGCCGTATCATGAGCACTCTGCTAAGGCTTGTTGGACAAGCGCGGCAGCCGGTGACTGCCGGAGCGTGTCTCGTCGGAGCTGGAGGCCGATGATCTGGAGCGCTGAGAGACCCGTCAGGGCTTCCATGCACTCCCATACCGTGCAGTGGCCCTTGGTGCGGTTCGAGATGTCCAGCTGGAATGCCGTCACTCCTGTCATGTTTCCCGCTAGTGGCCTGGTTGCATGGAAGCGATGAATCATGTAGGGCTGCATGACGATGGGGAGTACCAGCTGAAGGGCTTCCACCAGCTTCGTACGCGGAAGAGGGGGCCTGTTCTCGTCCACTACTAGGCTCCCCAGTGCTGACGACCACTTCTGATAGCACCAGCAACCGTCCTTTAGCCATTTCATCTCCTCTGCCTTGGTTTGGAACGGAGTCGGTGTCGCCCCTCCGATGTCCTTCAGTCCCGTGTGCAGCATCTGTAGTAACTGTAGTAGACATCCGAACAACGTCGTGCGAAAGGCAGTGGTGGTTGCTCCCTCTTCCTGTGCCTTCTTCCACTTCTGAGCTGCTGCGAACAGGAGTGGCAACGGGCCTTGGAGTGCCACCGATTTCTCCATGTGTTGGAGCCGAACGGCTCTTACAACATCTACTACCCCTCGAAGACGCGCGTGCCCGAGGAGGTGTTTGACGTTTGGGCCTCCTGGGCCGGTTTTCCCGAGTTCATCCACGTCGACAAGGACGGGGCTTTTGAAGGTTTCTTTGCAGAGCGCACGCAGGCAATGGGTGTGGACATGGATGCCATACCAGCTGAAGCTCATTGGCAAGCCGGGTCCATCGAGGCCTACAACCGGGCATTCCGCTATGCGGCGGAGAAGCTCGTAGATGAAAAACAGCTGTCCGGTGACCTCGAGATGAAGATCTTGGCAGCTTCAGTGAGCGCGAGCATGAACGAGAAGATACGAACGTGTGGTTGTAGTCCTAGCGAGTGGCTGTTTGGACGGCACCCTCGGAACCCGTGGGACCTCCTCAGCGTCGACGGCAAGATCGAGCCCTGCAGAGCCTTGACATCGAAGCCGAGCTCCGCCGACGACAACAGATCCGCGCACTCGCCGACCAGAAGATCGACGAGTTCTTGCCAGGCCTATTGCCGGGCCAACTACTGCTGGTGATCCGCGGGATCTTTGGGCTCGCAAACAGTCCTCGACTGTTCTGGCGACACTTGAGGGTCTAGGACCTAGGATTCGTTCAGTCTACTCTAAAGGCCCTCTTCTTTTACTACAAGGCCGGGAAGCTGATCCTGCTGCTGGGCACCCACGTCGATGACCTTTTGGGCGCTGGAGCACCGGGACTGGCCGACGAAGTCCTACAGAGGGTGAAAGACGCCTTTGACTTCGGCGCCTGGGCGGACAGTCGAGAGGGCGAAAGCCTCGAGTACGGAGGCAAGCAGATCCGCAAGGAGCAGGACAGCACCGTCACTCTCAGCCAGAGCAAGTTCATCCAATGTCGGGAACTCTCAAGGTGCAGAACCTCGTGGAGCTCAACCGCATCCTCAAGGAGGCAAAGGCTTCGCAGGACTGGTGCCTGCGCTTTGTGCCCGTGGACCTGGGCATCGTGACCTACACAGATGCTTCGTGGGCCAACGGGCCCGACCTGAAGTCGCAAGCAGGCACCTCACCTTCATCACTACTCGACTGGAGGTCGCACCGGATCCAGAGGCAGTGTCGTAGCACACTGGCCGCCGAGACAATGGCGATGGACTGTGGCTTTGACAGCGGCGTCTTCGTACGAGAGCTACTAGCAGAAGCCCTCATCCAGAGCTACGTGCCCACGCAGAGCGGCCGACTTCCTGAACAGCTGCTACCGGTTCACCCAGTGACCGACTGCCGTAGCTTGTACGACTTAGTCACCAAAGATGGTCCTGTACATTCGACACAGGAGAAACGTCTTACTATAGACGTCGAGGCCATCAAGCAGAGTGCGGCTGAATTTGATCCAGCGCAGGAGAGTCTTCACGAGACCTTTAAGTGGGTTGATACGCACCGCCGGCTAGCAGATCACCTCACAAAGGTCAAACCGGCCCACCTGCTGCGTACAGAGCTTAGCAAGAATCACATAGCACTCCAAGCCGTCGAGAAGCAGTAAACCTGTCTTCTCGAATAAAGAAGTTTGGTGAGTGCAAAGCTGTCTGCATTCGCACATGTCAGGAACCTTCGATTCTGCGGCCATATAGGGCCCATGAGCTTGGCGCGAATGACCGCGCAAAAGGCCGAGGTAGTGAACCCCTCGTTTTCTCTTACTTTAGGACCTGTAGTGCACCCAGGCTCCGCAAACCAAACTTCGGTTGTGAACCCCGACAGTTGCATCCAGTTGTGAGTAGGTTCCTGCTTCCCATATATGACCTGTATTCCGTTTTGCTTCGGCACTGGCGGTGTGCGAATACGGCCTATTGGGTTGCCTTCCCCAGCCCCAGCTGGAACCCTCACACTGTGGGAAAGCTGACACTGTAGTATAATCATCAGAATTGTGAGTTTGCTTCCCACCCCGGACTTGGGACCGGGCCGGCTGCTGATTGAGAGGTGATCGTCCACGCTTGCAGTGGGGCAGCCCAGGGGGCTGCTCCCATGGTGAGGGGGCAAGGTTTTGCACTTCCCTGACCTTCGAGCGAGTGCACACAATAAAATGTTTAGTTCATGCCATGCTGTGTTCTGTACTGCAGACCATAACAGTCCGTAAGTTAACTGGCGCATCCAACGATTCAGGTGGGGGCTAACTTGGCTCAACGCCAGGGGCCACTTCGCCTCTTCGGTGTAGTCCTGCGTCGGCGTTTTCTGGGCGGGCTACCAATCTTAATTCGTCTCGTACGATTGGGTGGCTGACCCTCAAGCTGATGCAGTTGTCTGGTGGCGTGGCCTGATCGCCGCCGTTCGTAGATGCAGGTCCTGCAGGTCAGGGGGATACGTATGTGTAGTTTATGGGCTAGGAACAGCTTGGCATGGCAGGCAGGGGCACACATGAAGCTATGTATCGCCGACTGTGCTGTGTGTCCCGTGCCGGTGCACGTGAAATCGCCAATGCGACCTGCTGCGGGTGGGGTGGACCGCCATCGGCAGTCAACACCTCTGAGCTCCGCAGGATTTGGACGCTCTGGAAAAAAGCCGGATCGATGGTGGCTTCCGTCAGGATCACCTCGTTGGCCGACCTATAGAATCTGACGCCTGATGCCGCTGCATCTTGAGCGCGAATCCATATGGCTAAGTCACAGGAGTTGCGCATGCCCGAGATGGCACCTTCCCAGGGCAGCTGCTCCACCAAATGCACATGGCGGCCGAAGGACTGGCCTTGCCGTCCTCCGGCCATCAGGCCGTGGCGCAGGATGCTCTCGTAGAAGTCGTAGTATGTTCCGTGGGCCGCGTAGACAGGGGTGTCCTCGGTGGAGAGCCTGGTTAGGATCAGATCATCTTTGATGTGGCGGATGGAGTGGCCCTGGAGGGCTCTGACCTGGTAGTGGCCATCCTGGAAGTTAACTTCAAACCTGTTCTTCTGGTTGTAGTGGATGACGTCAACAACCTCCGCCTCTGTGATCCATTGATCCCAGAACCTTGGGGCCCGTAAGAGGTCTCCCATGTCCACGTAGCCATCCTCCTTGATGCGGATGCCCAATCTGGGCGCTGCGTGGCGGAGTAGCTGTGTTAGCGCCTTGGAGATTTCTTTGGCGCGTTCTCCCCGAACACGCTTCGGCTTTCCGTTCTTGCGCATCCAGTGCTCCGTTCCGGACTCCTCCACCGCCGGGCTCGCGGACCCTGATCTGGAGTGCGGGCTTGAACGCGCAGGGGGGCTCAGTGGTGGCCTCACGCGGTGTCCACCTATGAGTCGGTGCGAGGCGGAGGGCTCAGGATGGGTCCCCGAGTGTGACTCCCTTGGAGTAATCATCTTCACATCCCCCGAGTGGCTTGAGGATTCTTGATCCACAGTGGGTTCCTCCTTCTTCTTGTCGAGGATGTGCAGCGGTAGAGTTGGCGGCGGGGTCTCTGGGACCTTTTCCTCCTCCTTTGCCGTCGCATGGCTCGTGGTCGGTGGCTCCCGTGCTTCGGGGTGCTGGTGTGCCGTCTCTGGAGTCTGGAGGCTGTCCACGCGAGGTCCGCCGCTTTGTAGTAGGTGACGAAGGTCACTGGCTCCGGCTTCCCCCGGTTGTGGGATGGGGGTGGTTTCATGTGTCCTTATGATATGGATGAACTCGGCCGGGTTCACCTTCCACCTCATGGCCTGGTAGGTGGCCGGTGTGCACTGGTCCATCATTGCTGTGATCAGCACCACCAGATGCTGAAAGCTGCCAAGCCATGTGGGCCTCTGTGTCTGTTTTGACGAGTAGACAGTGAAGGCTTCCACGAAAGTACCACACTTCTCGGCATTGTCGTAGACACCTCTCAGCTGTGGGCTCAACAGCGAACACACGAGTGATAGGTTCCAGTTACCCGCCCTCGGAAAGTCCTGTGTGGCAGGATCCTGATGGAAGTCATCGTGGAATTTTGTGAAGTCGCCGGATCTGTAGAAGGCGTGGAGCAGCGTGGGGAGGCCCGCATTTGCAAGCTTTTCCAGGAGCTCGACCACTTTGTGCAGCCTTTCCAGCTGGTTTGCACAGAGATCTTCCGCAGGAGGAGGGGCCGAGTCCGGCATCCCTGCTTGTTGTCTTTGCACAAACTCATCACTGACCTGGGTGCTCCGTGATCTCTTTGTGGCCGGTGGTCCCGAGGCTTTGCGAACTGGCGACGGTTCTGACGTGTCTTGGTCGTAGGAGGAGTCGTCGCTGTGGGATTCCCTCCGATCATCACTTACCTCCTCTTCCTCCTCGTACCAACTCCCTTCGTCATCGTAGCGCTCCTCGTCTTCTGGTCGCCGATCGTCAGCGTGTTCGGGTTCCCGTCTCGGGTTGCGCCAACTCCAGCGGTCGTCGTCCTGGTACCACCAGTCTGTTAGCCAATCCTGCTGCTTCCAGGACTCCCAGGGACCGGAGGATGGCTCACTTATGTCCTCTCGTCTTCTGGGGCCTCTTGTCCGCGAGGGCTCCCCATCATGGTGCCCTTCCTGGCTCTCATCCGTATGGATTCTGTAGTGCTGCGGACGTTCTCGGTCTGTCGAGGAGGCTGATGCCTGGGTGGGGCCGCTTCGCCGCTGTTGTTGTTGGCGGGCCTGCACCTCCTTCCAGTACTCCACGTAAGGGGCTCTTTTCTTCAGCTCCCCTGAAGTCCTGCGGCGTCTGCCATCCGGGCGGTACCGCGACCCAGGCGGCTTCTGCTGAGCCCCTTCCCGGGGTCGCTGATCTTCACTGGGCTTGGGCATCATGCCGTCTGCACGCACGCAGCATGAGTGAGGCAGGCGGGAAGGTACAGATGCACTGTCAGACTCATGTGTACCACAATCTAAGCTCACAGTGACTGTAGGGGCAGATCTCTGCAGGTTCACGACTGCAACTACGGCATCTACGGCATCGATTCGCGCTCCTGGTGGGTCTTCTCGCTGAGGATGTGGCATCTGGCATGGCATGTGGTGGTCGCGCCTGAGCGTCAGTTGAGGGAGGGGTTCCATGGGTTCCAAGGGTCGCTGGGAGCAGCTTCCTGACTGATTAGGCTTCGTAGTGCAAGACATACTGGCAGCGCGTGTCCTGCGTAGCTTGGGGCCCCGACCAGGTTGCCTAATCCATGGCGTGCAGGTCCACTGCAGTGGCGCTTTCAAGAATTTTGGGCGGGTCATGTGCACTCCGTGAGTCATGCCTATCCTGAGCCACTTGCAGGGATTGTTGCACCAGAGCACGGCTATACGCTGGCATGCGTTTGCGTCTGCTCCGTCTCTTGCCTCTGGGTGAGTCAGGCTGGGAGGGTGGTATATGGCTAGGCCTGTCAAGGCTAGAGATGCATGGTTCCTCATCTGAGGATCGGTCAGTCCGGAGTACTGCGAACGCCTCGGTGCATTTATTGAGGCCGTGCACCTTAGCTTGGGGCCATTTGGCTCCCACTGCCTGATCAATGAGGCGAGGGTCGGGATCTCGTGACCACTCTTGCAAGTAGCTATCAAGACAGCTACTGTTAGTATTGTTAGTATCATCAGTAGGGGCCTCAGACTTCCAGCCTCCACTCTGTAATGACGATTCCTCTTGCGTTGTGTGTGCGCACTGATGGGATCACCTCTAAGCTAAAAGTTTGCGTCCCGCTGGTGGGACACGCCTGAGCCGGAGTGCTTACTACTACTACTACTACTACTACTACTACTGCTACTGCTACTGCTACTACTACTTACTACTACTACTACTACTACTACTACTACTACTACTACTCCTGCTGCTGCTGCTGCTGCTGCTGCTGCTGCTG